TGTGTACACATTATAAATATTCGACATTATAAAGATTGATCCTAGCCATTCATAATGTGCAACCATCAGGATTGGAAGGAAGAATGAAATCATGCAAAAAAAAAAGAGCGATATTTATGCTCCACATCATGATATTAATGGTATTGGTGATACCACCACTGACAGGGGATACATAAACATGTATATATATCCATCCATCCATCAACAGAACTGGCCAGAGCGTCCAACAACATGTGAATATCCAATATTACAATTGTGATTCTTAGTAGTTCCACCCAAAAAATTAAAAAAAAAAACCACACTCCAACCAAAACTGAAATGTTGTTTAAAAAAAAATCAGAGCACAAAAGCAGAACCGGAGTGATTCCCCATAACACATTGAATGTATTTATGGGGTAATTTTTTTTTCCTTCAACCCACTGGTTAAATAAATAAATAATATATGGCCAGCTTTAGAAACCTGAACATGTCCCAGAATCTTTAACTGTTTCCCCACTGCCCTATAGTAGCAGGGCAAAATCATGTGTATGTACATGTGATTTGCATTTCCGGGTAGGAAGTGCGTGCGCCACCATTGGTGGCTACAGGAGTCAATCACCGGGTCCTGGCCAGAGATTCCCCGCTGGCACCCGGCGATAACCAAGTAACACTGGCAGGGAAGGAGACCTGTGTGTAAACAACACAGGTCTCTCTCCTGCCAGCAAGAACATGCGGCTGTGTATTTCTGCGCACAGCAGGTTTCCCATAGTTAAACAAAGCACATTATGTGAACAGCACACAGTTAATCCTTTGATCGCCCCAGATGTGTTAACCCCTTCCTGCCCAGTGCCATTAGTACAGTATCAGGGCTTTTTTTTTAGCATTGATCACTGTATTGGTGTCACAGGTGATGTCAGTGACACAAAGTCAGTTCCCACAGTGTCAGAATGTCTGCCGCAGTCCCGCTATAAGTTGCTGATCGCCGCCATTACTAGTAAAAAAAAAAAAAAAAATTTCCAGTATCTATATTGTCATTTGTAAACGCTATAGCTTTCATGTAAACCAATCAATTTGCACGTATATTGGTATTTTTTTTTTTTAGTAAAGACATGTAGCAGATACAGTTTGGCCTAAATTTATGACATAGATTTTTTTTTTTTTTACTGCATATGTTTTATTGCAAAAAGTCAAAAATATATTTTTTTTTTTCAAAATTCAGTCTTTTATTTTTCACGCTATAAACAAAAAAAAACTGAGAGGTGATAAAATACCACTGATAGACAGCTCTATTTGTGGGGGAAAAAAAGGACATACATTTCATTTATGTACAGCGTTGCATGACCGCTAAATTGTCAGTTAAAATAACGCAGCGACGTATCGCAAAAAATGGCCTGGTCAGCAAGGGGGGTAAATCCTCTGGAGGGCAATCATAAACACTTTAACCAATTGCTTAAGGTCAATGTGAGAGTGCCCTAACATGCCCAAGTCTCATTCACTTTAGGAGACTGTTCTAGGGTGGGTTTGTTACAACAAACTTGTAGACTGATTGACAAGGCAAAATGCATTAATCCCCCCACCACCACCACCCTTCACCAGCCATACTTACCTTCACTTTCTCTCTACTCTGTTCAACACTTGAAGCCAAAGGGCAGATCTTGTACTTCTGGGTATAGTCAAGCATGTGATAGCGCCAGGCTAATCACCTATAGCCCTCTGTAAGCTCTGGTGACTTGTGATGACAACGGGTGTTTTTTCTGATCCCGGCGGGTTAGCAGAACAGAAGGTGAGTAAAAGGTAGACAAGTGTATGCTGGCAGGGCCTGGAATCCAGTAAAACCCGTCTCTTTGCCCTGTGTGAGCAAAAGCAGGATGAGAGAGAGAGAGAGATATAATAATATATAATATATAGAATACACACACGTAAGACCAAAACATGTTTATTTTCTTTTTGGATAGAGTGGGGTCTGGTTATTATTATTTTTTTTTTGCTGCTCTTTGTGTTTACTTGAGGAGATCCTCCTTTACTCTCTGGAGTCAGCAGGAAAGCTCTCCAAAGCTAGTGGAATTCCCCTTTTAGGCAATGTGACCAGAACAGGTGTCCCTATTGGAACAGTAAGATGGGGTACGTGCACCCCAGAGGCCATCAGATTGTGCCTAGCTAGACCAGGGCATTGCTCATTTTTCATTCTTCACTAGAATAGATGTGATTCTGTAGAAAATGCAGGCAGACACAATTTGGGTAACACATTTAACCATGTGAATGTAGACCCTGGACTCCAAGTAGCCCTGCAAAAAGAAAATACAGACACGTTTTATGGAGACCAGAAAAATCTTTATTTCTGAAAGTGCAAAATCTGTAGAGAACTGACTTCTGTGTCACATGTAGCCAACCGACAGAAAAAGTCAGACACTGACCATGACTGGAGAATCCTATGCCCAGCACAACCTGCTGCCAGGAATGTAGGGGCATAGCCTGACCGATCTTTATTGGAGAATCCTATGCCCAGCACAACCTGATGCAACTATAGGGGCATAGCCTGACTGACCTTTATTGGAGAACCCTATGCCCAGCACAACCTGATGCCACGCCTATAGGGGCATAGCCTGACCGATCTTTATTGGAGAACCCTATGCCCAGCACAACCTGATGCCACGACTATAGGGGCATAGCCTGACCGATCTTTATTGGAGAATCCTATGCCCAGCACAACCTGCTGCCAGGACTATAGGGGCATAGCCTGACCGATCTTTATTGGAGAATCCTATGCCCAGCACAACCTGATGCCACGACTATAGGGGCATAGCCTGACCGATCTTTATTGGAGAACCCTATGCCCAGCACAACCTGATGCCACGACTATAGGGGCATAGCCTGACCGATCTTTATTGGAGAATCCTATGCCTGGCACAACCTGCAGCCAGGATTATAGAGGCATAGCCTGACCGACCTTTATTGGAGAATCCTATGCCCAGCACAACCTGATGCCACGACTATAGGGGCATAGCCTGACTGATCTTTATTGGAGAACCCTATGCCCAGCACAACCTGATGCCACGACTATAGGGGCATAGCCTGACCGATCCTTATTGGTCTGTTGCTGCCATAAGCAGCGTCACTAACAAATGATGAGATGGAGGAGGTGGTAGGCTGGGGCTCAAATCCAGGAACTGGATTCATTCAGTACCCTGCCATCAGGAAGTTTTGGGGTCATCAGTAAAATTTATTAGGGTGCCTACAATGACTTGTGGGTATTTATCATAGTTCAGAAATATCACAGAAAAAAATGATTTCAAAATACAGAATATGAATACCTCCTCTATGTACATTTTAAATCGAAGTTCTATCTAGGGGAGGTGACTCACAATTTATAATATCCTAGCCAGCAATGCAAGTATAGCACTGACTAGTTGTCCTCCCCCCCCAGTGTAGGGCAATGTGATTGTGACCCTGCAAAGGCCTCTGACCCCTTATTCTCCCCTTCCCAGCACTCCCTGTGCTCCTTCCTTTGTCACTGCCGGCCACAATTAAGGTAGGCAGGTGTATGCGATCCCCTCACCTGTGACAGTGCTCAGGCATAGCAATTGGCTGCTAGACTCAATTACTGTTACTTAATCAAGGGAATGATGTCACCCCTCCCTCAGTCGCCAACGCCGGTGATTTCACAGTCAGCTGCAATGCAGGCAAAGGGAGTATAAGGGGTACGGGGGGCCCTTTGCAGAGACACTGTCACTTTGCTGTACATACATATACAGTCCATTGAGAGTGCCAAACAATCCAAAAATCCTAGTTAACTGAATGATAAAATTGATTCATAGCACAATAAAGCTAATGCATTTCAGTAGCCAGGTAGTCCCCCTTCATCGCAGCTGATAGCTTTTCCAGAATGTCTGAGAATGGCTGCTTCCTCTTCAGACAGAAGCAAATAAAGTGGTATAGGTGGCCTTAGAGGCGCTTTCAGTCACACGTGAACAAATGGAATCATGATGGCCTTTCCTTTTGGGATTCCGATTGTAAAGCCACTGAGTGATAAATTAAACTTGTAATGTACTTTTTTTTTCCTAGATCTTTGTGAATGCAGAGGAATCTGATCTGCAGCTCTAGAAGGAGATATTCTGTTTACAACAGACAGTCCCATTCACATTCTGACATTTATATCTAGTCAATATTCTTCTAGATTTAAAACCTGCAGCTAAGGCTGGTTGCTGTTCATAAGGATATGAGGGAAAAAAAAAAAAATCAAAAAAGGTCAGCGCTAATCCAAAAAAGAGAGAAAAAAAAACACTGCGTGCAATGGATAAAGATGTACCAGAATCCTATAAAGTGCTATAAACAGAACTTGCAGCAAGAATATGAACTACAGCAACCATCCTTGGCCCCCCAAACCGCATTGGCTGTATTCTGCTATAAAGTAATGTTATCATTATCCTTGCCTTGGACATTTGTTTGCCACTCTCAGTGGATTGTATGTACGTTGATCCTCAACTCTGGCTCCTTTCCCTTTTTCCTGGGTGGTCCCCATTTTTGTGGAGTACTGCTGAAGTAGGGCAAGTGCACCCAGTGACCATTATAGTGACCCTCAGATATTCTGAATCCAGCATCATGTTTGTCCTTGTGTTTGGATTTTGCTGCTCCTTCATGTCCAATCACAGGCTGGGGACAGAGAAGTGACCAGGCTGTATTTCTTAACTGCAGCAGAGAAAAATCAGGTCACCAACCTGCCTATGCTGTCTGATAAGCCTGTAAATCTCAGGACTGCATGGACAGAAATGCAAACCCTTCGTATTCAGCAGCTTGTCTACAGTTCTGTAATAATTTCTAAAAATAAGTGTTTTTGTGGAGTGGAATTCCTCGTGTTCACCGGGAATTCACTGGAAGGTGACACTATGTTGTGGTAACTTTTATACTATTATTTTTATTTACTCTTCATCCAGCTATTTGCAGGCCACAGGAAGGAAAGCACAGTCTTAAGGAGGGATCCTAGGAGCACCTGAGTGCTTGGAGGGAGCCATCTGCTTGGGTGGTTACATTTCAGCCTCCTGTTGTGCAGAATTCCCAATTCCATTCTGGCTTATCTGCTGCTGGAAATCACGCCGCGCCTGCCGATTGGATTCCAAAAGATCCTGAAGCTGGGCGTGTAAAAGATCATTCTTCTCTTCTAGGTGATCCAGGCAAGAGTTTATTTGGTCCAACATGAAGTCTAATGCTGCATAATCTGAGGAATTAAAGAGAGAAATAAAATGTATTTGAGCCGAATAGAAGATTGTCTACATACAGATTAATGCTGTATCTGGCTAAACTGCCAATAATTGGCATGTGTACAGAGTGAAGACCAGACCCTAGAAAAATGGATGGTGGAGATGTAGATTATCCGAGAATGGCACGGGGGAAGTTGTAAGAATACACAGGGACCTATCACTTGTCCTCACAGACTTTCCTACCACTGCCGCATATTATTTGACCTCTCAAGACTTGCAATCGTATACATGAAGGTAAAAAACCTTCTCTGTGCAGCATCCTCCCCCCCAGCCCCCCTAATATTTACCAAGCCCCCTCTCGATCCAGTGATGTCAATAATGGTTATTGACTTCAATGCAAAATTGGCTCCTATTGACTTCAATTCAAAAAGGGCTCTTTTTAAGTATATATATATAAACTTAAAAAGAGCCCTTTCTGCATATTATTATTATTATTATTATTATTATTATTATTATTATTAAACAGGATTTATATTGTGCCAATACAGTTCAATACAAGAGGGTTAGGAGGGCCGTGTGTGTGATTTTATGTCTAGTTTTTGTGTTACTTTCATAAGTTATTTTAAGTTACTGGGTTGTATTTTTTAAATGCATATTCATTTAAATTCATGACAATAATAAAAAAGTCAAATAAAATACAATATATAATATATATATAATATATATAAAAAGTCTATTTTGGTTTCAGTTTTCGGCCAAGTGCATCCTGAATCTTTGGTTTCGGTCCAGAATTTTCATTTTGGTGCACTAGAAGAAGGCAGTGAAATGATGTACCAGGGTTTCCTCTTCTCCTGAATCGCCCTCTGCAGCAATATGAAGAGAACACAGGAGGACACCACAGGCTCCGCACTGTGATCTGCAATTGTCAAATGTACAATCCAGGTGCAGTGCTGTGCATTCATTGTGGTATCTTTTGTGGAGTGCTATCCACTCTCCTTTGTAAATAAGGCCCTAAGGAAATGTTTACTAGAGACAAATTATAAAATGGCAAAACAATCTCTGCCAATGGCTTGATGAACATTCCAGCAGCCATCCTCAGAGCCTGCAGCCAGCTGATACCTGATGTAACTAGAGCTGGCCAGCACACTACACCCAGCAAAGTTTATAGATAAACAATGTGCAGAATCTGTGGTATGAGGAATGCAGAGCTCACGGGTCACCACATCTCTATGTGAGCTCATTCCTTCCTACCCTGGAACTAATGTACAGCAGGATGATGGACACACATTGGACAACCCCTAGGGCAGGGGTAGGCAACTAGCCGCAGGACTACAAGTTCCATCATGCCTCTGCAAGTCATAGCTGTAACTGTCAGTTTTGAATGTTGCAATGGGAAATGTAGTTCCACAACAGCTAGAGAGCCCAGGTTGCCTACCTCTGCCCTAGGGAGTATCCTTGTGCTAAGAATGGGGGGTACATAACCGACAAGTATATATATCATACCCCCCATATCTATTTTTTTTTCCTTTTCAGGTACTTATATAGCGCCGTCAATTTTACTTATCGCTTTTCTCTTCTCCTACTCTACAGCCAGCCTGACATCATCCATTTCTCTACCCACGCAACCAAGGTGACCATAAAGCTAGATTCCCAGCTATGTGCTTTTTCAGTGCGTTTGCACATCTTCAGAAACGCACTACAATCCATGTAACAGTATAATGTACATATGTGTAATGTGCATATATTTAAAGCGCTGCGTACAATGACAGAGCTATACAAGTACCTGTAATATTTATTTCCTATGGGTCCCATTCACATCTATGCAGTTTCCTGCAATGCATTTTTTGGAAAGGCGCAGGTTTTTTTTTTTGTTTTTTTTTACAAGTAGCACAGTGCGCTTTTGGCTCCGCAGACTTCAATGGAATGGCATGAAAAACGCATAAATAAATATACACACACACATTTTTGTTGCTTTTTCCTGTTTGACGACAGATACCTCCTCTTAGCAGCATCAACACCTACCTTGCCATTGGTCAAAACAAAAAAGCATAACATTAAAAATGCATAAAAAAATGTGCATTAAAATGTAAAACGTACTGGAAAATGCACCACAAGAACACATCAACTGCATATGCATTGATCTGAACCTAGCCTAATGAAGCAAACACTACTCCCTATACTCCTCAGAGAAGAGGAAAGCTAACACATGTCTAGGAGAAGTTTTTGTGTTGTGTTCCTCGATGACAATATTCCCTCCCAGTCTAAGTCTTGGAGAACAGCTCTCAGCCTTGGAAAATAAGCTCTCTTAAAATTGAGCATTTTTATTTTTCCCATATGCGCTTGCTGTTTACAGCTAACAATAAATGAAATCATATTATGGTCACTGCTACCCAGATGTTCTTTTATATGGACATTCGTAATAAGCTCTGCATGGTTTGAGATTACCAGGTCCAGCAGAGCATCATTCCTAGTAGGGGCCTCTATGAACTGTACCATAAAATTGTCCTGTAGTAGGTTTAAAAACTTTTGCCCTTTAACTGTTCCTGCAGTACCATTACTCCAGTCAATTTCTGGGTAGTTAAACTCCCCCATTATTATCACTGTCCCAGCCCTTTCAATCTGTGCAAGGAGCTGAAGTGGCACACATCCTTCAAGAAGAACTTACTATGTATTTAGGAGAATCTATCACACATGTCCTTCAAGCAGAACTAACCTGTCTGGGGGAAGTCACACTCCTCCTTTGAAGAGAATTAACACGTCTAGAAGAAGTGGCACACATCCTTCAAGGAGAACTAACATGTCTAAAAGTCGCACACAATTTTGAGAAGAACTAACATGGCTAGAAAAAGTCACATGCGTCCTTGGAGTAGAACTAGCCTGCCTCGAGAAAGTTGCACACGTCCTTTGAGAAAAACGAACTCGTCTAGGAGTCGTCGCTGCACACGTCCTTTGAGGAGAACTAACCCATCTAGGAGTCGCCGCACACGTCCGAGGAGAACTAACCCATCTAGGAGAAGTCGCACACGTCCTTTGAAGAGAACTAACCCATCTAGGAGAAGTCGCACACGCCCTTTGAAGAGAACTAACCCGTCTAGGAGAAGTCGCACACATCCCTCGAGGAGAACTAACCCGTCTAGGAGAAGTTGCACACGATTCTCGAGGAGAACTAACCCATCTAGGAGAAGTTGCACACGACCCTCGAGGAGAACTAACCCGTCTAGGAGAAGTTGCACACGATTCTCGAGGAGAACTAACCCATCTAGGAGAAGTTGCACACGACCCTCGAGGAGAACTAACCCGTCTAGGAGAAGTTGCACACGATTCTCGAGGAGAACTAATCCGTCAAGGAGAAGTTGCACACGTCCCTTGAGGAGAACTAAACCTGTCTAGGAGAAGTTGCACACAATTCTCGAGGTGAACTAACCCGTCTAGGAGAAGTTGCACACAATTCTCGAGGTGAACTAACCCGTCTAGGAGAAGTCGCACACGTCCCTCGAGGAGAACTAGCCCGTCTAGGAGAAGCCGCACACGTCCCTCGAGGAGAACTAGCCCGTCTAGGAGAAGCCGCACACGTCCCTCGAGGAGAACTAGCCCGTCTAGGAGATGTTGCACACGACCCTCGAGGAGAACTAGCCCGTCTAGGAGAAGTTGCACACGACCCTCGAGGAGAACTAACCCGTCTAGAAGTTGCACACGTCCCTCGAGGAGAACTAACCCGTCTAGTAGTCGCACACGTCCCTCGAGAACTAACCCGTCTAGAAGTTGCACACGTTCTTGGAGGAGAACTAACCCGCCTAGGAGAAGTCACACACGTCCTTCAAGGAGAACATAGGTGTCCTTTTATGACACAGAGAATAGCTGTGATTCAGAGGATCGCAGCTATTCTCTGGTCATTCACAGTTTATAACACTGCTAAAAGCCTGTGTGTACATATGTAAAGTCGGGTTTAGGAGCTGCTCGTGTATATGAAGCCTAGCACACCCTAGAGGTCCTCCAAGCTGCAGTCACACACACACACAGGTTCGGAATGATAGGTCCCCTTTCGTTGAGCCCTATACAGGCATAGTCACGGCTGGCCTCCTGGAAATGCCCTTTGCTTGGCTGTCAGAGTCTTGTTTAGGTGCATGTCACCTCCCGACAATTTCCATCGCCACGCCTGCAAGGCTTCGTTCACACCCAGCGTTTCATGAATGTGCGTTTTAGTTGTCATACTAAATGCTTAGGGCAGCCGATTCTTCTCAATGGACCTCCACAGGTGCCATAGCAGTTCATGTACTAACATGGGAAATCTGCTCCGCTTGTTGCGTTTCTAGCACCATTAATGATGAATGGCACCACAAGTGTGACGCGTTTTCCACGCATTTCGTGAACGTGCTTTTGCATGCGATCTCAGGTGTGAATGAAGCCTGTGTGAGAGGGGCCTCAGTCACTGAACTCCTATCCACACACCTGGCTGGGGCAGCCAAGCACAGCAGCATGTCCAGAGAGGTAAGCTATGGCCGCACACAGGACAATAGAGAAGAGCGCTCACCTTCCTCCCCGGACACCTCACCCATAGGAATCTGTGGGTCACCATTAGGTCCTGACATTCTGCCTCTAGGTCATGTGACTGCCGATCATGTAACTCCCTGGGCAGCGGTGACGTAGCCGGCGCTCTCAGCCTATAGCTGGCTGGAGCGGGTCATGTGCCGGGGTACTGGGAGCAAGAGGTGGGCGGGGCCAAGGTGCAGGGAAGATGGCTGCTTACAGGGTACACGAGCTGGGCGCTCTGGCCGGGTACTGGAAAGCTGGCATAGCGGGATTAGGCAGCGGGCTGGCAGCCAGGGGGGCTGTGCGGAGCTGTAGTGGATATGTGTGTCTGCAGAGCCGGCGCAGCCTTCTATCCTCCTCTCCACACACAGGGCTGACCCCCCTCACTGCCGCCTGGAGAAGGTACACCACAGGCTGGAGGGGTCAGGAGGAGGAGAGCAGAGGGGGGCGGAGAAGGGGGTGGGGAGTGGTGATTGTGGTAGGTGGAGCCTTGGGGGTCATACATTCCATGAACTATGTCCTGGCCGAGGAGGAGGAGACACAGGTATGACCACACTTGTCTATATACTGTATATACAGAGAGAGAGCGCGGGGGAGGGGACATTGGGACTGAGCCCCCCCAATACAAACCTGTATACAGAGAGAGTGGGGGAGGGGACATTGGGACTGAGCCTTCCAATACATACCTGTATATAACCACTAAATGAGAGAGAGAGGGGGGGACATTGGGACTGAGTCCTATATACAAACGCAGTATCTCCCAGAAGTGAGTCCCACCCCTCACATTTTTGTAAATATTTGATTCTATCTTTTCATGTGACAACACTGAAGAAATGACACTTTGCTACAATGTGACGTAGTGAGTGTACAGCTTGTAAGTCCCCCATGTAAGCAATGCGTACCCATGCGGAGTCCCCCATGTAAGCAATGCGTACCCATGCGGAGTCCCCCATGTAAGCAATGCGTACCCATGCGGAGTCCCCCATGTAAGCAATGCGTACCCATGCGGAGTCCCCCATGTAAGCAATGCGTACCCATGCGGAGTCCCCCATGTAAGCAATGCGTACCCATGCGGAGTCCCCCATGTAAGCAATGCGTACCCATGCGGAGTCCCCCATGTAAGCAATGCGTACCCATGCGGAGTCCCCCATGTAAGCAATGCGTACCCATGCGGAGTCCCCCATGTAAGCAATGCGTACCCATGCGGAGTCCCCCATGTAAGCAATGCGTACCCATGCGGAGTCCCCCATGTAAGCAATGCGTACCCATGCGGAGTCCCCCATGTAAGCAATGCGTACCCATGCGGAGTCCCCCATGTAAGCAATGCGTACCCATGCGGAGTCCCACCATATAAACAATGTATATCCATGCGGAGCCCCCCCATGGAAGATTTACCCTCTTCCTGACATTTCTAGGGATACGGCGCTGCGTTACTGAGAATTGCGCAGTCATGCAATGCTGTACATACACCGTGTTCCAAATTATTATGCAAATTCTATTTAAGTGCCACAAAGATTAAATATTTTGTTTTTCAGTATAACTCATGGATGGCATTGTGTGTCAGGGCTCTTTTGATCACTGAAAACAATCTGGGACACCTGTGATAATTAGATTGGCCGGTGAGCCCAATTTAAGGAAAAACTACTAAAGGAGGGTGTTCCACATTATTAAGCAGAGCACCATTTTCAAGCAATATGGGGAAAAAAAATGATCTCTCTGCTGCCGAAAAGAATGAAATAGTTCAATGCCTTGGGCGAGGTATGAAAACATTAGATATTTCACGAAAACTTAAGCGTGATCATCGCACTATGAAGAGATTTGTGGCTGATTCAGAGCACAGACGGGTTGGTGCAGATAAAGGCACATTGAGGAAGATTTCTGCCAGATCCATGCATCAGATCAAGAGAGCAGCTTCTAAAATACCATTACATAGCAGCAAACAGATATTTTAGCTGCTGGTGCCTCTGCAGTCCCACGGACATCAAGGTGTAGAGTCCTCCAGAGTCTTGCAACTGTGCATAAACCTTCTATTCGGCCACTAATAACCAATGCTCACAAGCAGAAACGGCTGCATTGGGCAGAAAAATACATGAAGACTAATTTTCAAACAGTTCTGTTCACTGATGAGTGCCGTGCAACCCTGGATGGTCCAGATGGATGGAGTAGTGGATGGTTGGTGGACGGCCACCCTGTTCCAACAAGGCTGCGACGTCAGCAAGGCGGTGGTGGAGTCATGTTTTGGGCCGGAATCATGGGAACAGAGCTGGTCAGCCCCTTTAGGGTCCCCGAAGGTGTAAAGATGACCTCTGCAAAGTATGTGGAGTTTATGACTGACCACTTTCTTCTCTGGTACAGAAGGAAGAACTATGCTTTCCGTAATAAAATCATCTTCATGCATGACAATGCACCATCTCATTCTGCAAAGAATACCTCTGCATCAATGGTTGCTATGGGGATAAAAGGAGAGAAAGTCATGGTGTGGCCTCCATCCTCCCCTGACCTCAATCCTATTGAGAACCTTTGGAGCATCCTCAAGCAAAAGATCTATGAGGGTGGGAGGCAGTTTACATCCAAACAGCAGCTCTGGGAGGCTATTCTGACATCTTGCAAACATATTCAAGCAGAAACTGTCCAAAAACTCACAAGTTCAATGGTTCAAGACTTGTGAAGCTGCTATCAAATAAGGGGTCCTATGTTACAATGTAACGTGACCTGTTAAAATGTTTAAAAAGTTAAATGTTGTTAAAAGTTTGATTGAAATAGCTTTTGATTTCAGTAAATATGCTGCAAACACAACAAATGACAATTTTCAGTTCTTTACAACCTATAAAGTGTTTTGAAACTTACTGTGCGTAATAATTTGGAACAGTGCATTGTACGTTTTATATGTTTAAAAAAAATACTGTTATCATTAGGAGGTTTGTTCAATAAAATTTGAATTGTACTCTTAACCACTTGACCTCCAGAGGATTTACCCCCCTTAATGACCAGGCCTCTTTTTGCTACTAGGCGCTGCACTAATTCAACTGATAATTGCGCGGTAATGCAATGCTGCACCCAAACGAAATTTACGTCCTTTTTTTCACACAAATAGAGCTTTCTTTTGGTGTAATTTGATCACCTGTGCGCTTTTTATTTTTCACGCTATAAACAAAAAAAGGCCAAACATTTTGAAAGAAAAACGATATTTTTTACTTTCAGCTATAAAAAATATATAGTAAACTCAAAGTTGGTTATAAATTTAGGCCAAAATGTATTCTGCTCCATGTTTTTGGTAAAAAAAAAATCCCAATAAGTGTATATTGATTGCTTTGTGTGAAAGTTACAGTGTCTACAAAACTATGGTATAGATACTGCAATTTACGCCATATTTTTGCTATACAGCGCTGCACTAGTTTAACGGACAATTGCGCGGTCATGCAAAACGGTACATAAATTTACATCCTTTTTTTCCCACAAATTGAGCTTTCTTTCAGTGGTATTTGATCGCCTGTGCGGTTTTTATTTTTTGCGCTATAAAAAAAAAGGCTGACAATTTTGAGGGAAAAAAACATTTTGGACTTTTTGCTATAAAACATGTCCAGTAAAAAAAAAATGTAAAAATCAAATTTAGTCATAAATTTCTGCCAAAATGCATTCTGCAACGTCTTTGCTAAAAAAAAAAAACCCAAAACATGTAAATTAATTGGTTTACGTGAAAGTTATAGCGTTTACAAATGGCGGGATTTTTAGTTTTTTTTTTTTTTATACTAATAATGGCGGCGATCAGCGACTTATGGCAGCGATCAGTGACTTATGGCGGGACTGCGGCGGACATTCTGACACTGGGGGAGTACTGACTTGGGGTCACTGACATCCCCAGTGACACCAATACAGTGATCAGTGCAAAAAAAAAAACACTGACACTGTACTAATGGCACTGGGGAGGAAGGGGTTAAGTTTATTATACAGGGAAAGGGTTAACTTTGTGAAGGGAGTGTTTTACTAGGGGGTGGGGGTGTGTACTGCAGGGAACATCGCTGATCGGGAGAGAGAAACTCCTTCTGTCCCGATCAGCGTGTCCTGGAGCTGTCAGGGAACTGACAGAAAGCACAGCTACTGCAGCTGTGCTCTCTGTCAGCGATTGTCGCCGATCGCTGGGACATAGCCGGTAACGACCGGCTGTGACCCGGCGACTGACATCCGCGGCTGTGATCGGCGGGACAGGTAGGGCGGCAGCGCGCCTTGCGCGTGCCCCCTACCTGTTTTAAAAACACACGTTTTAAAATGTGGTTTTGCCCAGCCGTGCCGCCCTGCCGCTGTATTTCTACAGTGGCTGGGCGGCATGTGGATAATAGTTGATAACACGAGAATTATGCTGACTGTTATTTACATCAATTATTTAGGTAAATGAAAAAAATATAATTTGCATAATAATTTGGAACACGGTGTAAATGTATGTCCTTTTTTCTTCCCACAAATAGAGCTTTCTTTCGGCGGTATTTGATCACCTCTGCAGTTTTTACTTTTTGCATTATAAAAAAGGAACGACAATTTTGAAAAAAAAATATTTTTTATTTTCTACTATAAAACATAAGCAATATAAAAAATGTAAAAGTCAAAATTTTTCATAAATTTAGGCTAAAATGTATTCTGCAACTTATTTTTGTTAAACAAAAATCCCAATAAGCGTATAATGAAAGGTTTGCGCAAAAGTTATAGCGTCTACAAACTATGGGACATATACTGGAATTTATTTAATACATTTTTTTATACTAGTAATGGTGGCAATCAGTGACTTATAGTGTGACTGTTATATTACAGCGGACATTTTTACTCTGACACTTTGTAGAAACCAGTAACACTAATGCAGTGAACAGTGCTAAAAATATGCACTGACACTGTAAACAATGCAAATCCATATGGAGTAACTCCCCCCATATAAACAATGCATACACCTTTGTGGGCCTTGGTACAAATAAAAGATTGATGTAAAATTTTTTTTTAAAATTGATTTATTGCTGCCAGTAAAATCCCATATACTTGGGGAATTTTTACAGTTTGTCGACAGAAATTTTGGAATGTGGGCAAATGTCAGAGGCTAACCCCTGTGGTTTTATGTAATCCTGAAAATAGAGATACAATTATATTTTAAGGCCAATTCCAATCTTCACATGTGTGGTTTTGTGCGGAGCATTCTATTCATACTGTACATTGCTGCAGTTTGCCAATGGTTTCCTATGACTGAATCTAGAAAAGAAAGGAGTTGTACAATGTACTTATACTGTGGCCTGCAAAAGGCAGGAAAGGAGTCCTTTGGGAAGATACCCCTTTGACTTGGTTACTTGTCCTACAAGGTGTATACAATTCATCTATGTGTTTAAAATAGAAGTGTGGCTTTTTTCCCCCCAAATTTTGTCCCCCACAGCCTCTAAGGGTGAGAACTTGGCTATCACGACCATTTATTGCTAAGTTCTCACCGCCGCCGTTAGCAGAGAGTGGTGACTGTCAGTCACTGCTCTCTGCTCTGCCCCAACCCCCGAGCTCACTGGAACGCTGATTTGTGGAGGAGGGGCAGCTGGCTAAGGCTTTCGGCAGATCGCGGACATGCTGAGCTAGGTGCGGCTTCAGGCTCTGGGGTGGATCCCGACTTTAAAGTTGAGATCTTTCCCCAGCCTGAACCGACGATTTTACTTTCAAGAATGATTTTACAAGTGTCTGAATGGCAGGTTCCTGTGGGTGGAAAAGTGTAATGTAGAGTACTGCGCCTGTGTAGTCACTGTGGAAGCAGATAACAGACTACTGTTGAAAGACAATACTGCATGAGTTTAGCTAAACCTGGTCGTCAGTCCATCTCATGGTATTCCTGTGAGCCAACTGCAGAAACAGAATTCATATTTCATCCAGGTCTTCCCTATTCTCTTGCCAAGTATGGCGACATTGCTCATTGCACTATACAGTGCAGACCAACTGAATGTAAACAGAGCAATGTTTACACTGTACTGGGACTAGCTGACATTTCTTAAAGCACTTGGGATACGTTACAGCTGATACTTGCAGAACTGATTAGTGTTCTTGGCTATATTAGTGTTACTAAACCCACAACAGTAAAATCAGTCTGTATATGCAGTAAAACATGGTTGTTATACCCACTGTGGAACCTAAGGGGTTAATCCTCCACATTGTATAAAAAGGCTGTATGATCCTGACTTCTCTGATCCTCACCTTCTTCTGCTGTCCCCAATCCATCTGATTGTACAGAGCTCTAGGAGTCACTCTGCACATGTTCAGTTTAGTGTGTATTGCTAGAGAGTTTTTTTTTTCTTTGGGAGGGTGCATGTGATCAGCACAGGGCCATCAGGGGTCATGCAGCCTCATAGGAGAATTAAAACTTTTCCTACAAGCTTTAACCAGTGCTCAGCTGGACACTGAAAGAAGTCACAAAGCTTCTATATACTGCTGATGTTAAAAGGTATTTAGCAGTTTTTATTTACTTAAATAATTGCATTTCCATGTTGTTTGTACTGTGGGAGACCAGATATAGTGAATGCAGGGTCCGGGGAGACCAGATATAGTGAATGCAGGGTCCGGGGAGACCAGATATAGTGAATGCAGGGTCCTGGGTTTAGTAACACTTTAAGAGAGCTCATTTGTTTACAAGTACAATTATCCTGTAATGTGGGACAGTGTTTCTTCTTAATTTAAGGAACAAAGCATTTTTAGTTTAAATCATTCTTTTTATCCTTTTCAGGTCCCGGTGGGTGGTCTACAGCTTACACTGTACCAGTACAAAACCTGTCCCTTCTGCAGTAAGGTGCGAGCCTTCTTGGACTATCACCAGCTGCCACATGATATAGTGGAAGTGAATCCAGTCATGAGGAAAGAGATTAAATTCTCCACCTATAGAAAGGTTCCCATCCTGTTGGCTAATGCTGGCTGCCCTATTGTGAGTTTGTTTATACTATATAAGCTCTTGTAGATTTCTTTTATGTTAAAGTTTATTTTACATGCTTTGCTTTAACCACTTGCCTACCAGGCACTTGTACCCCTTCCTACCCAGGCCAATTTTAAGCTTTCAGCGCTGTTGCATTTTGAATGACAATTGCACGGTCATGCAACACTGTACCCATTTGAAATTTGTATGATTTTTTTTCAAATTCAAAACTCAAATAGAGCTTTTTGGTGGTATTTAATTGCCACTGGGTGTTTTATTTTTTGCGCTATAAAAAAAAAAAGCTCTTCGTTTCTATTATAAAATTTTGCAAACAGGTAATTTTTCTCCTTCACTGATGTGCATTGATTAAGTTGCACTAATGGGCACTGATGGGTGGCACTGCTGGCCAGCACTGATGGGCACAGGTGGGTGGCACTGGTGGGTACTGATCTGTTTTCTGACAATTGCTGGTTATCGGCAGTGACAGAATGAGAAAAGTGCAGCTGACAACCGGCAACCGCATTTACCCAATCTGCTCTGTCATTGGACACAGCTGATCACGTGGTAAAAGGCTGCTGTGATTGGCCTTTTACCACATCACGTGGTCAGCTGTGTCCGTAGGACACAGAGATCACGGAGATCGCCTGGTGCGCGCCCCTGGGGGCACGCGGGAGGGCATGTTCCGGGAGGACATCATATGACGCCCTACCAGAATTGGACAACTGCTCTGTAGTCATAATTCGGCTATAGCCCGGTTGTCAAGTGGTTAAAGAAAGACTCAAAAAAAGTTTTAAAATATTCTGCTGGGATGCCAGGAGGTGTGCCACCTCTGGAGCGCAGCCTGTTCTTACAATTTACAGTTTCACTGATTAGGTGCTCCGCACATTGGTTAAAATGTATCACACCCTGAGCTACAGACAAACAGCCAATTTTACAGATGGAATACATATAAGGGAGTTGATTCATCTGCCTAAGGATTTGTATTTTTGTCCAGTCCTGAGCTCTAGCACAGTCTTGTCTGGCAGGGTAGGAAACCTGAATTTTCTCTGTTGCAATTACTGGTCTTGTCCCTCTCCCAGTGTCAAGGTCCTACCTTTTTCCCAGAGGTTATGTTACTCCATGTGCTGGCATCCATCTTGGATATTATGCTGAGCATGGTGGGAAGCTTTTATGCCTTCAGGTCTCTGAGGTCCATCCCCCAGAGGGGTGTGGCTGAGTACATATAAGCCTGTGATCCGCACATGCTCTTTGCACTTGTGTCTTGGTCTTGCTACAGCTCTGTGATGCTCGTGACTCTTCTGGTATTTGACTCGGCTTGTGACTAGACCCTTCTCTGTGTTTTCCTTCGATCTGACCTTCCGTTGCTGAACCCGGCCCGTGACCTGTGATTCTCTGTCTACTGTTCTGTACTGTTTTGTCCTGTTGTTGTTGACCCAGCTTGCCTGACTACGCTATTGTCATTCTCACCAGCTACACGCCATTAACGGCGGCCATTACCGCAGCCGGGGTGTCTCGGGGGCCGCGACCTGGTTCCTGGCTGCGTCAAGTCCATCCCCACCATCAGGGGCCCTGGTGAAGGGCAGCCTGGGACTTAGACTCCGCGCCCTGAGGGACTTCGGTCTGTTGGTGGTGGTTGTCGTCAGTCAGTGCGTTACCCTGCCACTAGGCCTACCTGTCCGTTCCCACAGCCCTGCCCTGACACCCAGCCTGTGACTAGACAGTGAAAGGAGAAGCAGCAGACTGATGAGCTCATTGGTCTGTCACTTTGTTCTATTTTCCTATCAGCATGTTCCTTGTAAGCATATGAACTTTGTAGCATAGTCCTCGTAAAGGGATAAGCTGTAATCCCCTGAAACCACTTCTCTTCAACACTCCATCCAGTGCTAACGGCCTGATGTCATCACATGTGATACAGGGCCAGCAATCCTGTATTGTTCGTGAAAATGGCTAGGGCCTGCCACAACCAGGAGAATCATAGAGAAAAGGAAAGTGCTGGCTAACATGTGGATCAAGGAATAAGGTAAGTATTACAGCTTATTCTTCTATCCATAGACTTAGCCAGCATTTAACTGCTTCCCCGCCACCCTATAGCAGAACTACTGCTACAGGGCGGCAGGGCTGTGCAAAATCACGTGTATATATATATATGGGATATTGCATTTCCGGGCGGGGGGCGCGTGTGCAACCCGCCCTACCCGTGCCACCATTGGCGGATACAGATGTCAATCACCGGGTCCCAGCCAGAGATTCCCTGTATGTAAACACAGGTCTCTGCTGCCAGCAGTAACATGCTGCTGTGTACTTCTCTGCACAGCAGAGAAATACACACAGTAGCATGTTTCCATCGTAAAACCGCACACAGCACGTACAGTAACACACACACAGCACACAGTTAACCCTTTGATCGCCCCAGATGTTAACCCCTTCCTACCCAGTGTCAGTGCTTTTTATTAGCATTGATCACTGTATAAGTGTGATTGGGATGTCAGTGGCAGTCAATTCCCCCCAGGGTCGGAATGCCCACCGCAGTCCTGCTATAAGTCTCTGATCACAACCATTACTAGTATTAACCACTTGCCGTCCGCCTGCTGTTTATAAACGGCAGGGCGGTGGCAGTCCAGGGGCGGGTTGCAATTCATAAACGGCACCCGCCTTTTCTAGCTGTGTGCGCTCCCTGTCCTCCGGACACAGTGAAACACCGATCGTCGGACGGGACCTCTGTACGAGGTCCCGATCATGTGATCACTGATTGGCCAATCAGTGATCACATGCAAAGTAGTAAGCAAGATGTCACTTGTGACATCATTGCTTACTACGTGTGAAACCTGTGAATGATCACAGAGGTCACATGGTACAAGGCTATTCACAACAGCCTTGTACCATGTGACAAGCTGGGACCAATCACAGCTCACTCAGTACTTCTCAATGACTGCAAGAATGTAGACAGAGAGAAAGAGAAATGATTGCTTTTACATCCTATATGGGTGTAAAAGCAATCAGTGTAAAAAAAGAAAAAAAAAAAAAAAATCTTCATCACCCCCCACAAGTAGTACAGTGTCCCCATGGTGACACTGTACTGCTAGGGTGACGGTATGTAAAAAAAAAAAAAAAAAAAAAATAAATATATAAAAAAATAAAAAAATGTAAAAAAAATGTTTAAAAATTATAATTTTTGGTTATAAACTAATTTGGATTTTTTTTTTTTTACAAAAAAAATAACGGAATAAATTTTGCCAAGATTTATGATGAAATATTATTTATTTGCAAAATTTTATTTAAAAAAAAACACTTTTTTTCAAAATTTTTGGACATTTTCATTTACATAGCAAAAAAAAATAAAAATCCCAGCGGTGAATAAATACCACCAAAATAAAGCTTTATCTGTCCCAAAAAAATGGTAAAAAATTCATATGGGTACAGTATTGTCATTCAAAGTGTGATAGCGCTGAAAGCTGAAAATTGCCCTGGACAGGAAGGGGGTAAAAGTGTCCGGACAGGAAGTGGTAAAAAAAAAAAAAGAATACATTTTGGTCTAAATTTGATTTTTTTTTTTTTTTAATTTTTAGTGGATATATTTTATACCAAAAGATTGAAAATATTGTTTTTTGATTTTTTTTTTTTTTTCAAAATTGTCAGTATTTTTTTGTTTATAGCGCAGAAAATGAAAAACTCTGAGGCGATCAAATACCACCATGAGAAAGCTCTATTTGTGGGGAAAAAGGGACACAAATTTAATGTGGGTCCAGCGTTGCATGACTGTGCAATTGTCAGTTAAAGTAACACAAATAAGAGCTTTCTTTCGGTGGTATTTGATCACGCTCTGCTTTTTTTTTATTTTTTGTGCTTTAAACAAAAAAAACCGACCAATTTAAAAAAAAAAAAAAAAACAATATTTCTGACTTTTTGCTATTAAACATGTCCAATAATTTTTTTTTTTTTTTTTTAAATCAAATTTCACCATAAATTTAGGACAAAATGTATTCTGCTACTTGTCTTTGCTATGAAAAAATCCTAATACGTGTAGATTAATTGGTTTACGTGAAAGTTACAGCGTTGTTTTTTCTTTTGTTTGTTTGTATTTTGTTTTGTTTTTTACTAATATTGGAAGCGATCAGCGACTTATAGCGGGACTGTGGTGGGCATTTTGTCACTGGGGGGAAATTGACTAACTGCCACTGATATCCCCAGTGACGCTAATACAATGATCAGTGCTAATAAAAAGCACTGACACTGTACTAATGACACTGGGCAGGAGGTTAACATCTGGGGCGATCAAAGGGTTAACTGTGTGCTGTGTGTGTGTTTTACTGTGTACAAGCTGCTTTGTATTGTTGTGCTGTGCAGAGCAATACAAAGCAGTCTGTGCTGACAGGGGAGAGATCTGTATTGTTAACATACGAGAATCAGCGGCCGGGACCCGGTGATTGACATGCAGAGGAGCCAATAGCGACGCGCACGCGCCCCCTTCCCGGAATTACAAAATCACATGTGTATATATACGTGATTTTGCGCAGTCCTGCCACCCTGTAGCAGTATTTCTGCTATAGGACGGTTGGGAAGCGGTTAACCAATGCTCTGCTGGACACTGATAGAAGTTACAAGACTACTCTTACTGCTGATGAGAAAAGGTATTTAGCAGCTTATACAGTTGTTCTCAAAAGTTTGCATACCCTGGCAGAAATTGTGACATTTTGGCATTGATATTGAAAATTATGACTGATCATGCCAAAAAAATTTTCTTTTAATGAAGGATGATGATCATATGAAGCCATTTATTTTCAAATAGTTGTTTGGCTCCTTTTTAAATCATAATGATAACAGAAATCACCCAAATGGCCATGATCCAAAGTTTACATCCCCTGGAATGTTTGGCCTTGGTACAGACACAAGGTTAAGAGTTTGTTGCATTACGGTCAGGATATTGTTGGAAGCTATTGAATTTCATGTACAATCATGCAATGATGGTTAGTTAATGTGCTTTATTAGATAATTTTTTTGTAAACAGGATGTTAAATAAACATTATGACTTTTAATTGGAATTTATTTGCAGTACCACTGAAAATCTCCATTACAGTGAGTTTTATGATTTGTATAGATTACAATCCAAAACTAGAAGAAAAAAGTTTTGGTTGGAGTTCTACTTTAATAGATTTTATTTAGTAATTAGAAGTTGGTGTCCATGACTAATACAAACTGTCTTTCAGCAGCAACTAAATGACTCTTCTGTTATCATCAGTGCTATGAAAACCTTCCTTATCTCCAAGTAAGTCCAAACAAATTCTGTCCTTGAAAGGTCTGTCAAGGTTACATTTTATTTGTCATTGTGCTTTCTTTTTTTTTTTTATCTTTCTGTTTTGCAGGCAGAAAAGTTTGGAAGAGATTATGTATTATTATCCAGCTATAAAAGCAACAGATGAAAAAGGGAAGGAGGTGACCGAGTACCAGAACAGATACTGGCTCATGCTGGATGAGCAGGAAACCAAGCAGTTGTATGGTTCTAAAGAAGCACAGATGTAAGTATACTGCGTTGTGTGCTAAGCCGACATGTCACATGACCTGACTGTGTCTTCAGGCGCAGTCCACGAACACTGTAATGTGAGGGCATGTCAGAGAGTATTTGACATTTAACCTTCATGTTAGATTTTGAACACCACCCTTGAAAAGGTTATGTGCCTTACCTTCCTGTAAGCTTCCTACACCCTCCACTTCCTGATTCAGCGCTTGAAACATGGAGGGTGACAGCATTGCAGGGTTTGAAACTGGAGGTCCAGGAAATTCAGGGGGATGGGAAGTGTAGTTTGGGGTTCCAAGCATCTGAAAGTTTGTGCTTGAGATTAGTTAAGAGCGGACAAATGTAGCATACAGATAATGGATTATCCAGAGGTTCTATATGATTTGGAACTTGTGTAGACTTTTGCATTGAATGGTAGTTCGTTTTGAAGCATTCATGATTTAAATGATAGAAATGTTAGGTATTTTCCAGGCTTAGCAATGATTTGCCTAGCCACTATAAAGACATGGGTGAGCAGGTGTGTTATGTGTAAGTTGGTGGCTGCCTAAAAAGGCTTCCTAGGGGCTTATTGAAGGGTAATGTCCAATAAGGTTGCCATGATATGATTTATTGAATGCCAGAATTGTTTGATAGGTACTCCCAGATAAGTGGATAGATGCCATTTTCGAGACATCCTCTAATGCAATGTGGAGAATATACTGGTAATGGTAGGGCTATTCGGGTTAATGCAAGGTATTGCCGCATCATGCATATTCTATTCAGAAGCAATGACATTAATCAAGCATTTGGAGATCGCCAACCACATATCCTCGAATGCAAAAGTTTGACCCAAGTCTTTCCACATCTGAATGACTGTGGGTGGGTTATTAAAGCAGCAGAGATGATGGAGGAATAAATTGATGTGATTATGCCCAAAGAGTGTAGATCATCAATGAAAGAGGGTTAGAACAGAGACTGTGTTTTTCAAAGTAGACATAGTGTAATTTTTCAGTTGCAGGTAACAAAGATTTCAAATAAGGATTTGTGTTTTTTAGAAAGCTTTTATTGCCAAAGAGGAAGCTTACACCATTGTTCTGCTTCCACAATCTAAGCACTGAAAGTGTGACCTCTGTAACTGATCTAGTTGTGGTGAGATAGCTTGGCAGACAGTGACTCGATCCAAATTACATCTTGCAGCTCGTAGAAAGCTTTAATCCAAAGAGTTGTGCAGATCATAACAGAAGAGCATCAGATAAAAAAAAAAATCATACTGTGTCTTACTCAAGCAGGATACAGCACATGTGGTGAGTGGAGGCAAAAGGGTGGAACTAACTACAAAGAGCATCCCCTAGCTATGGATTGAGTTAGGGACAAAATTGTTTAAAAGCAAGCAACAATGCCTGAGTAACCTGGTAACCATAGAAATACACTTTGCAGAAGTCCAGTGACAATTAAACCTCAGGAATACTGGATCATTGAGAAATCATAGTACAGCACAATATAATAATAACAATAGAAATAATCTATACATACATTAAAGTATTACTAAACCCCGGACCCTGCATTCACTATATCTGGTCTCCCACGGTACACAGAACATGGAAATGCAATTATTTTAGTAAATATAAACTGCTAAATACCTTTCCTCATCAGCAGTTAGAGCAGTACTTGTGACTTCAGCAGAGCACTGCTTTAAAGCTTGGAGTAGGAGTTTTCTCTAGGAGGATGCAGAACCTCTGACCTCTGTCTGGACAGTGCTGATTGGCCCTGTGCTGATTACATGCACTCTCCAAAGAAAAGAAAAAAAACCTCTCTAGCAATACACACCAAATTGAGCATGTGCTGTGTCTCCACACTATATGTCTTATCAGGAGATAGGAGGGAGACTCTGGAAGGATCAGAGAAGACAGGATCAAACCGTATTTTTACACAATGCAGAGGATTAACCCCTTAGGTTCCACAGTGAGTATAACAAGCATGCTTTACTGCATATACAGACTGATTTTACTGTTGTGGGTTTAGTAACATTTTAAGAGAAGAAAAACCATGATGAAGGTATTCTGTGTGAATATTTCAGAGCCTAAAATGACCTAACCCCTTGTAAAGAGATTTTTAGTTTTACCTGTCTTAACCATCAAAATAAATGTGGGGAATTGAAACTTGGGTAGATCATAATATACAAGAAAATGTATTGTCATCCTATATCTTCACAGAGTATTTTCATGATCGGGTTTGTGATACACACTCTGTAATGGGGTGGGAGCCAAAGGATGGTAGCAAAATGCGTTAATCTGCAGTTGCTCTTAGTAGCTTCCTTTCTACATGCACTCCAGTGATGCTTTGCTTTCGCTTTTCCAAGGGCAGTTTTCCTGGTGGTGACAACAGGGGATGATGCTTGTGCTATATGTATTGACATGACTGCTTGTCATCTCCCCTGGGAGAGTGTATGAAAATACAGGTGCACAGTTGGGAGGCAGAGATAGAGCATTGTCACTCTAGGATGGAAACTGTATTTTATTGAAAGCTGCAAATATGAAAATATAGAAAATTACTTGGGAAATTTCTTGAATGTGTTAAAACTTGTGTACCATTTTAGTGGTTTGGTTTGTTTTTGGTAATTATACTAGCAGTAATAATAATGTTAATTTCAGTTTTAATTACTCTAGAATGGCCAGTTAGAATAGGCATTTTAGTATTTTATAATTCTTGGAGACTATTGAGGAGAATTTGTGCACCAAGGTATCTAATCCCTCCCTCCTGGTGTGGACATTACAGGGAATGCTACTGGAATTTTCAACAGGGTTACATCAGAGGACTGACGTTTCCTTTGCAGCAACAGGAATTCTACACTGATGGTATAATGGCATAGAGCCAGGAGCTCCTCCCAAGAGAACTGATTAATGCTCCACATCAGACAGATCCTCTTTTTTTAATACCTATACTGTTAATGTGCAACATTATACAGGATTTATATAGCGCCAACAGTTTGTGCAGTGCTTTACAAAATGAAGGTAGACATTAGAGTTACAATACAATTTGGTACAAGAAGAAACAGAGGGCCCTGCTCATTAGAGCATACAATCTAGGAACATAAAATGGATGGCAATTTCAACCAGTTTCCTATCTCAGAAATTACAGAATGGATCAAGGCATCCAACCAACAACAATTTTGACAATTAATTAATCAAAACTCTTGGCAGAAGTTTTCCCTGATTCATGTTTTTTTTTTTTGTTCTTTTAAGCGAAAGTGGCTGATAATGCCTGAAAGTTTCCATGTGTATGGTCAGCATTGGGGTTTATGCAGAAATTTTTTTACCAAGTATACCAGAATGATCAGTATTAGCAGTGTTTGCAGTACCAAAGTAAACAACAAATTACTATTTTTTTTTTTTTTTCAGAAATACGTTTGATGTGTATAATTGACTTGGAGAAGACTGTATTTTCTCCTTAAACCAATGGTGGACCCAAACTCAAAAATCGAACATTTGCTATGTTATATGGAACATATACAAATGTTAATTGGGCCTAAGCCGTACCCTGAAAGATGTAACTTTCTGAATTCCTCTTGAAAAATGAACAGTGCATTTCCTGGTATCTGAGGAAGCCTAGGTGCTCTTATGCCTACAGTCTCATAACTGTGTATCCACAGTTTGAGATCTAAAGTACTGCTGCCTCTAATTGCTAGTCTCAGGTGATTTGGAGTGCATGGTAAGTACAAGGTAAAACATTGTTTGTCTCTTTTACAGGGAAGAGATTAAATGGCGACGGTGGGCTGATGACTGGCTGGTTCACCTCATTTCACCAAATGTTTACCGCACCCCAGGGGAAGCACTTGCTTCGTTTGACTACATTGTACGCGTAGGGAACTTCGGCCCTGTGGAAGGCCTTTTTGCTAAATATGTGGGAGCGGCAGCTATGTTTTTCATCGGCAAGAGGCTGAAAAAGAGGTCTGTGAATTTTAGTGTTCATCTTTGTGGTTTTACATTTTTGTCTCTGTCCTCCTCCTGTGCACAGTGCTCGATATTAAAGTGGAACTAAAGAGAATAACGTTTACCTTGTCTCAAATGGCCCGGAACCCACACCGCCATCTTTTTCCAGGGTACCGGTCTTCGGGCATCTCCATTGGCTAGAGTGGGTTTATATACTGTAACCCCTGTGCATGTGCAGGAGCCCAGTCATCCTAGCGCATAAGGACCATGCAAGCAATGGAAGCTGGGCAGCTCAGTTTACATGCTGCAGAAGACTGCAAGCAGACAAGACAGATGTATTTTATTGCAGAAATTACATTGTGTATATCTTCTGTGATAATAGTCTGCACATGTGTGGTGCGGATTGAAGCTTAAGTTTCACTGCTAATTGACACAGTAGGTGTTCAGCAGTTCAGGTCAGTTTACATCATGTTCAGGACAGGATCAGGTCAGGATTTTATCTTGTTTAAACATATGCAGTTTAGAAACAGTTCCCGTAGAAGTCATTACCTGTAATCCGCACCTGAACTGGGCCGCACTGCTAATCGTACAGGACTCTTTCAATCAGTATTGAATCCGCATTACCAGTGTACCGGGCGTATCTGAACTGGCACCATAGGAAGCAATATTATTTCACATGTCATGTGGATTGGATGCTGTTCAAACTCTATCCAATCCGCATATAAGTGAACTGGCACGTACTGCTGCTCAGGGTTCTGGGTTTCAGTAAAATGGCAGCCTCTGGCAAGAAGAATCAGGAACAATGCTGGAGGCAATTTACAGCACACACTAATTTTGGTAGCATAATTTTTAATGTGGAATGTATGTTTCTTGCTAGAGAACATGATTTTTTGTGTGGTGTAAACAGGGAACATGGGAAAACAACTGTTTTCTATTGGTTCTTTTCAAATATTTTTATTCATTAAAAAGATTGTTATACATAGAAAGCACTAAACAGGCACCAACAATAGAAGGCTACAGAAAACCAAGTCTGAAACACCACATACAAATTGGCTCCATTTACACCATGAACAATAAGTACATTAAAAAAACCTTTATGTGCTGTATTCATAACATACATGTATGATGGTGTGCAGAAAAATGCAGCTTAACGGACATAATGTGAACAAAGAGGTGAGGCAAAATTTAGTGTGTATCACAGATTCCCTTTGTATCGCAGGCTAATAATGTACTTGTTAATTGATAATTTGGCTTTGTTCATTAACATCTGTATTGTCCTGACTGGTTGGAGTTTGTAATACAAACAGTTCTTCTTTGAAACTTTTTTATATGCAATGCCTTCTGTATCCTTTGGACCTCTTCTACAATGATTTGTCGTCACAGGCACAACTTACAAGATGATGTGAGGCAGGACCTGTATAAAGCCGCTGACACCTGGGTTAAAGCTGTGGGGAAACACAGAATGTTCCTGGGAGGTTCGGAGCCAAACCTGGCAGATCTGGTAAGGCTGGTCCCTAACCCCCCATATGATTTAGACTGGAACTAAAGTTGAAAAAAATAAACTGCTAGGAGCAATGTTTCACACTTTGTGGACTTGTCCCCATGTGTTTTTTGATCAGAATGCATGCATTGATCCATTAAGTCACTAGGAGTGCTGTGCGTGGATTTTTGTGAACGTTTATCATAAACTAACCTATAGCTGGTATTTCTAAACATGCTCAATCGTAGATCTTCTATAGATCTTTGGCTGCAGAAAAATAGCTACTTGAAAGAATCCTGTAATAGACATTAATATCGTAAAAGTGGAACTTTAAGTAAAAAAAGAAAAATGAACAGGCAGGAATTTTAATGCAGAAGAGATATGCTTTGTCTCTTCTGCATTAAAGTTACCTGCCTGCCTGCCCCTGTACAGTGGGCTGCGCATGTGCAGCTCATTGTTCAAATTCGGCAATGCCAAATTTGATGGAACTCTTGTGCATGTGCAGAAGTGATGTCATTCTCCCCCGGCCAATGACAGCGGCCGGCAATTGAGACCCAAAAGCCAGGCACCTGAAGATGTCAGCGCCCGGGTGGGGAGCAGGGGGGCACCGCATCGCTGGAGCAGGGGTGAGTGTAGTTCCACTTTAAGAGTAAACTTAATTGGATAACGCTACTTGAAAAAATCACCAGGACAAAGAATAACACTGAGAGTGTCTGCTCACCGTGGATACAAAACTTACAAACCTGCATAGCAGGGTGGATTTGATTTAAATCAAACTGATTTAAATCACTAGTCAGTAAGGCTTGATTTAAATCCTAGTTTTCTACATAAAGACTAATTCTTGCTGGTATAACTTTAATATACAAGTAGATGAAGATTTTTAGAATAACAACTTTTCATATTAGTTTTTTTATCCCCAGTTTAATAGGTTAATCATTCATATTTGGACAACTTTTCTGTTGTACTTAGGAAGGAGAAAAATAATCATTACCTTAATAATAACAATTTAAATAGATTTATTCAACTGAAACAACAACATTCCAGCATATGTGATTTGCTTAAACAAACATCCATGTTTGTAACTAATTTGGGTAAACAAAATATATATATTTTAAGAAACTTAGACTGTCAGCCCCTTCCTCCTCACACTTAGTTTCACTTTCTTCTTGTGCAGATCTATTCCACTCCAAACAATCAGAAAAATATTGTTTCTATTCTATTCACTGAACTTCTTGAAACTTAGCAGTGAAGGGGTTGATTCTGTATTCATAGGTTTGTAGAAGTTAGGATTAAGGTTTTTTTCTTAACTCTGTTCATGTTATAACATTTTTGCTGTGAAGAAGAGGCATGTGATCTCCGCTGAGTCAAATTCAGTTTTGAGAACTGCAAAAGTAAACCAAACGTCTGTGATAATATCTTGTAGGCAGAGAAACTGCCCAATAATCTTACAAAAACCTCTGGAAGAGCATGACATTGTGAATGGATTCATGGAGTTTATTTACCAAAAAAATTAAACATATACAGCCTTATTCTACATAATTAAAAAACTAATCTTTATTTCATGATGGAATAACCTTTGATGGTAATATATTTTCCTCAAAAAGCATTTTATTTTCCGATTTATTAAAAAAAATCCAATTTAAATCAAAAAAATCTGATTTTTTTTGATTTTTAAAAAAAAAATCATTGGTTTTTATCCACCCTGCTGCATAGTGACCTTTTGCTACTTTTTTCGGAGGTTGGCATAGGGCAAGTGACTGGTCTGCCTTGTTCTTTTTCCTTTCTTGCTTCTTTTCTCTTCCTACTCTATTTCTTCATTATCCCTTTTATCTGAAAGATTTTCTATGTGCTATTGCCCTGTTGAGGCGGGAAGGGGGTTCTTTTTCATTTTTATGCTTCCACATGGCGTCAACTGTTTTGAGGAGCATTTCAGGTTCCGGTGCCTGAATGTTGGATACTATTGAGTTGCTGTGCTTTTTTTCAGTGGATAACTCTCTCGGGTTAACTTTTTTAACTTTCTCTTCTCCTGGTCCTTCTGTTCATTAATACTGACTTTTAGTTGCAAGAAGTTCATGTGAGGGTCTGTCTAGGAGTTATCCCATCTTTGAGCTACCCTGAATATTCTCTGTTTCACCATTTTATGTGATCGTTTTTATGTTGTACCCCTACCCTTGTGCATCTACTGGGTTACACTATGTATGCTGGTTACTTACCTGTCTTGAACAATAAAAATCTATTACATAGTCTGGCTGAAAAAAGACAAAAGCCCATCCAGTTCAACCATAAAAAAAAAAAAGTTATAGTTTTATACCCACAGTTGATCCAGAGGAAGGCAAAAAACCCAGCAAAGCAGGATGGAATTTGCTCCGGCAGGGGAAACAATTCCTTCCCAATCCCCTGAGAGGCAATCAGATATTCCCTGAATCAACTTTACCTATAAATGTTAGTATCCAGTTATATTCTGTGTATGCAAGAAATAATCCAGGCCTTTTTTAAAGCAATCCACTGAGCTGGCCAGAACTAACTCCGGATGGAACCTCTAGAGAACCAACTCTATTGAAAATAAAAAAAATAAATTGCAGTGGTAGAAAATGTTTTGTTAAATGGCACATGTTGAGTGTACATTCCGGTCACACACTTTGCATTATAAAATGCCAATATTGGGAGCCAAGTTCCAGGATAATTTAGCTCAAGGTTCATACACAGGAATTACATCATGAATGGTTCAGGAAAGAAGACACCTGTCCGGAAGGCATATATGGCAAGTGAATTTGGCATGAAATAATGTGCTAGTATGTAAAGCATAACTTCACAACAATTGCTTCTCATCCTATACCCCATTTCCCCAGCACAATTTAACTCTGCTTTAATGAATTGTATAAACCCAAATGTTTTTCTGGCAAATTGTATATTTTATAGCCATTTTTCCATTGTTCCTTTGTGTTTTACTCTCACAGGCTGTATATGGAGTCCTTAGAGTTATGGAGGGCTTGAAATCCTTTGATGAAATGATGGCAAATACCAAGATTAAACCATGGTACCAGAGAATGACCAGCACCATACAAGAAAAAGCAGCTTTGCACTGAGAAAAAACATGAACATTCCTTTATGGGAATATACTTTTCTTCAAGGGCTTTACAAACTGTTCAAACCAGAAGTTGTGATTTGCCTCTGCTTAGCAGATTCCTCATGGTAAATGCAATTTACCTTTAATGGTTGGATTGACAATGGTCATAAGATGGTCTCTTCTGCAGTAAGGTAAAATTAATTCCACATGAAATTATCAACGGTTTTAAAACCAGTCTACTTGTGATAAAACACAGCCATTGGAAATTCTTCAGAGAGGTAGGGTCAACTAGTATATGCAGTTTGCTATGAGAGAATGCAGCTTCCTTCAGAGTCTTCTCACACAAGTATCTTGCTTATAATATATTAATTTTGTATTTCTTTAAAGATTTAAGATTCGAGTTTAGGGGAAATCTGTACTGAGAGAATATAATGGCTGCCAAGGCCTCTCTTTTTAAAATTCTAGTTACCTGACTGTCAAGCTGATCAGTGAATCTAATACGTTGTAATGGCTGCCAAGGCCTCTATTTTTAAAATTCTAGTTACCGAACTGTCAAGCTGATTAGTGAATCCAATACATCCTGAGGCCATGACCTGCTAATGTAGATCAGGAGTTCTGACTTTCTGAGCTGCATGCTTGTGTTAGGTCATGGACTCAGAAAGTACTGAAATCAGAGACAAACTACAGTATTAGCACTCTTAGAAGATAAGCATTAGCAGTCATGTATTTATCTCAGTACAGTTTTCCTTTAAGTTAACAGTTGATTAAATAATAAAGCTTTAAACATTTAGTATCAATAAAGACTGTTACTGTGATTTTCAATAAATCCAAAAGTCTCAAGTTCTTCCCACAAATGGCTGACTGCTTTGCTTCTGCTACATGTCTCTGCCTTTTGCAATATCAGGTGCCATTATCTTGTGATCTGTGTTTGGATCATAGGATAATGACGCTGGAAGGGGTAGAGATGTGATGTGGGCACAACTCTTGGCTGAGACTATCCCCATTTATGAGGGGATTGGGGTACCTTTATATCGCGCATGCTTTAACATTTAACAGCCTAAAAAAAAAAAAGTCCAAATTGCTGACTGGACCCAAGCTCCAGAGATCTCATCCCTAATCCATCAGGAGTCCCAATACATCAGTATGCTTGTTCCAGGTAACTTACTCACCGAATGGTGAAAAAAAAGGGAAGAGTTACAGCCCTGGAGCATGCTTCTACAAGCTGGCAATGGCAGTTCCAGCATCTCTATCATAACATTTCAGAAAATTAGAGACTAAATAGTTCCTTAAAGCAGAACTACACTGCATCTGAGCAGCACATACCAAAAACACTATAATTCATTTTTATTATTCAAAGAAAACCTTCCCATCCATTCATGTCTCCATGCTTTTTTTTGCTGAGAAATCACTTCGAAAAATACCCCTGTAGCATTTCAGGCTGCAGTCATCTTAAGGGCAGATGAATTTACTCCCTGGAATCCATCTGCAATTGGCTCAGGCAGGAGGGTGTGCTTAGCTGAAAAAGCCCCTTCCTGAAGACTCCTGGATGTTTGACATCATTTGCCTAGGCATGGAAACCAGGAAGTAACTGAAGGGGAAAAAAAACGTTTAAACAAGCAAATGTAATGTACAGTACTTTCCTATCTGTTTACTAATATTAGCAGCATAAGGATTAAAAAAGTCATTGTTGATTGTGAGAGTGAACTTCCGCTTTAATAACTGGTAAAATAGTACTGCAACCCAGTCAACCTAAGTTCTGATTGCGTTTCTCTTCCCCAGTTTGAGTAACAGGTCAATCTGATGGAAATATGAGCCAGTCTAAAGTCTACTATACCTATCAGCAAGGGCAAATGACCTCACCAAGGCAGCCGGTGTGGAAAAAACATATGCCTCTGCTATAAAGAGGCAGCAGGTTCACCATTAATATGCAAGACCCTATGACAGAGTGTGTATGGTCCCTTCCATTTATAATAAAGCACTTTAGAGAGCTGTGGCTTTTCTTGGTCGCTTCCTAATTTAGGAATACATTGGAAAATGGTAATCCCTTTACTAATGTTTTGTTTTGTTTTTGTTTTTTTTTGGATTGCTGGTCAGTAGATTAAAGATGAGTGGAATAAAGACACTTTCTGTTTTCATTTATCCAGGTGGTGGCATAGTTACTAGTAGTTGGACACATTCGCTGGACTTGTTCTGTAATAATGTCAAGGTTCCATTACCACCAATTTACACCTATGTAATTATGTAAGTTTATTTTGTTTTGGATTATGTTAGAGCAGGGTGGTTTCATAGCTTTTCATGTTTTGGACACATTTTATGACACTATGATGGTAATTGTGATGAGGATTGAAATAAAGTGAAGTACAGGTGAACATAAATCAAAATATAAAAGTGCAGCGCAACAGTATAAACTAAAATGGTGCTAATAATACAAACATGCATATATTAATAGTGAAACAGAAATGGTGTTTGTGACAATAGATATGTGCTACACTCAATATCTTCTCAATGCATACACATTAATAACCATAGACTTGCACATAACAGTGCTAAAATGAATATATATACCAAATAAATTGTACTTAATAGTGAACTGTCCCTTTAAATCTCAAATATCTTCACGTGTGCTTGTGCGGTATGTCTCCTATATATCGTGGTCCAGATACACCAGCAACAAGTGTCTCATGAATTAAATCTTCAAACAATGGTGAACCATCCCTTTAAATACACTGTACTCCACGTGGTTCAGTGTAATCACACTACTGCATACACGTGTACGGTGCTCCTGTGCCACCCCTTAGTGTACATTCACCGCCAACACACTATTGCGCTCACCTCCAGGTTTGACCCGTAATGCCAGGTCAAACTACGCTTTTCCCTTTAACCCGGGAGGGTATACTGGTATGCAGATCTTCACCACCGTCAGTACTTTAAGACTCTCCAGAATGCTCCACAATCATAGGAAAAAAATGCTCCATATTGCCAAGTAAAACGGACTTTATTAAAACAATCAAAGTAAACTCACATTTAGAAGTGTCCACCTGGGACACTGCAGGATAAAAACTCACTATACAGCATGTCTTGGTAACAATGTACAGGAATCTCTTTTCCAAAATGGCGGCACGTGTACTTCAGGTTTGCGGCTTGACGTCATCAGCGTACTCTATGCGTCACGTCACGTGACTTCATTAAGAGTAGCCGATTGGATGTCAAGCCTAACCTATACACTAATGCAAAACATCTGTGTCAGTGCCATTTTCTTGGATACCGTCACATGGTCTCAGGCACCAATTTCTTGTGGACCTGTGTATAGATATAATGCTCCAATCTCACTCTGCCAAGGAGATTATACTGACAACACCTGGAGCAAGTACAGGGGGATCTGATCCCCAGAAGATTACTCCCTATGCTCATCTATATGAATAATACTAAATACATAAAGCATATGGGCATAAATAAATAATTAATCTGGCAGATTGGATAAATAAATAATGGCAGATAAATACACTCAATATCTCAATCGAATGGGCATAAAGGAGATGAACAAAGGGGGACGTGAATAAATACTTGATATAACATAAAATGACATGTAAAATTGTGGGCATGAATAAATAATTAATACGGCAGGTTGGATATACTCAATATCTAAATCTAGTGGACATAAAGGACATGAACAATGGGACCATAAATAAATTATAATCTGATAGGATAAATACCTAATAAAATCTCACAAATATAAATTTGGAAACATTGATGACATAAATTAATAATTAGTGTGATAAGATACATACTAGATATTTATATCTACTGGACATAAGAAAAGGGCATAAATCTACTGGACATAAGAGAAAGGGATAATAGGATATACAAATTCTGAATGATCTAAAACAAACTATACTCAATAAGATATTGCATGATACAAACATATACGGTGTCTCTTCTCAAAGACGTGTATTTATGTGTGTGTGAGTGTGTATGTATGTATGTATGTATGTATGTATATATATATGTATATATATATATATATATATATATATATATATATATATATATATATATATATATATTCTAGCCGTCTACCTAATATGGGCTGTGACTGGTACTATGAAACTATTACTGATGCCATGTACCATTCAGACTAGAATGGTAAATAAACTGAATAAAAGAGGTATATGTATATATCTAAACATTCCAATATACATGGGATGTTAATAAATATAATAAATTAAATACTAAAAATTCCCTTCAGGATAATATAACTGATATGGATGTACTGTATGCCATGGGTATAAATACTGACTCACTGCATACTAGGTGTCGTATATGTAATTTATAAAATATATGTTGCTCTGATATGTTGAATACATCCGGCTAAATTGATGGAGCAATGCCTGTGTAGTACATAAAACCATACGTGAATGTGTATGTTTACATTCCTTGTAACAACAAATGTATATGCCGATGAGGAGGTTATGTTTGTAGAAGGTATTGTGAGGACCCTCTATATCAAAATACTTTAAAGTAATATGTTCTGATTGTCCGTGGATTTTTATGAATCTTCTATGAAGCAATTAAGATCAGAGTCCACATTTAACCCTTGCGGTACCATCGTTTGTAATTGGAAGATCCACTTAGACTCCTTTTGGCTTAAAGTTCTGATTTTATTGCTGCCCCTCCAATGAGGTTTGTATCTTTCAATCCCCCTGAATTGTGATCCAACAGGGTTCTTGTTATGGTGCACTGCAAAATGCTAAGACAGGTTATGTTTACTGCATCCTTTTTTGATATCACTAACATGTTCTTGTATTCTCTTGGCCAACATGTGTTTTGTATGGCCTACATATTGTAATCCACATTGACATTGGATACAATACACTACACTTTCCATTCTGCATATAATACAATCTTCTATCTCGTATTGTGTGCCCGTGGAATGTGATGTAAATGTATTTTTTCTTCTGGGCAGTTTGATGTTTTTACACCCAAACATTGTCTATAGGCGAAAAAACCTTTTTCATTTAA